ATGGGTCTTGCACTGGGGAGAGGTTTCCGTCGGGCCACTCTGCCATAAAGCCCCGACTGGTGGAGGGCTGCAGTGATGGTTGACTTTCTACACCTTTCTCCCATCTCCCGACTGCATCTCTGGAGCTCAGCCACAGTCATCTTTGGGTTCTTCTGTACCTCTCTCACCAAGGCTCTTCTCCCCCGATAGCTCAGTTTGGCCGGAGGGCCAACTCTAGGAAGGGTTCTGGTCATCCCAAACGTCTTCCATTTAAGGATTATGGAGGCCACTGTGCTCTTAGGAACCTTAAGTGCAGCAGAAATTGTTTTTGTAACCTTGGCCAGATCTGTGCCTTGTATTGGTTGCGGTCGAGCTTGTGTGACTATATGTAATAATAACGGTTCTCACCTCGTGTAATAATAACGTTTTCAACTCAGTTCCGGACTGCGTGCTGCTTCAATACTCTGAAGACTCCAACGCCGTGCCCCAAGAAGAATTTTCAACTGAATACAATTCGGTAGACAGCGGGGAACAACAGAATCAGGACACGGCTGAGCCTCAACGAGCCCTGGAACAGCAGCAGTGCCAGCAAGCGCCCCCTCAGCCAAAGGAAGAAAACCCCCGGCGGGCAAAAGTCCAGCGTCCTTCTTCTTCAGCTTCCTCCTCTTCTCCCTATTCATACGGTAATGCTATTTCACCCAGCCTTTATTATTATTTTTAAAAACGTGATGTATTCAACACCACCCTGGTCGTAATCCTCCTTCTTTATACCCAATCCATTAAATTCACGTACTCGGAGGAGGAGGCCTAAAGCAAGGCGCAGATGTGAATGTTGTTCAGGTGGAGACAGCGCCCGGTTCATAGCGGACACTAGGTGCCACCTACGGAATTCAGAAACAAAACAGAAATACAGAAACTGAGAGAGGGCAGAGACACAGGCAGATGGTGTCCAAATCCAATAGCAGGTAATGAGCTCAGGAGTCAAAACCAGATGAGACCAGCAATTTACAGCACTAACAAGGGCAAGGCAGAACAGGCAGATTACAGGACGGTAACAGCTAATGTTGTTCTCACTGTCTGTAGCCACACCATATTTCTCCCATGTGTCCAGCTTGTCCTTCTGTGATGTACTGTCCATAATTTTGTATTAACCACCAGCTATTAGGTTCTCCAGTTTGACACACCGACACCTACATTGATGTCTGAGTGACACCCTATTGGCTGGATGTAAGTTGAGGGGTCAAAGGATGTGCCATAGGCCTTCACAATAACTATATCAGTTATTTGGGCTTGATAAAATTTATATTGGATTAGATGTTTAAAGAAGATGCACCTTTATTATTTATTTTTAATTATGTTTCTTTCAC